GAAAGCTTATGCTCTAATAAATTTGTTAGTCTCTATGGTGCCACAAATACTCCTGTTCTCTAAGCAACCAGATCCCCCATTAGCTTCAATGATTTATCAAAGTCAATTTAATCCTTAACACTTCTGACATTTTTTCAAACACTTACAATTATTCAGTAATCTGACTATTCTAATATTTTTAATGTCATTAATTCATGATATTTATGGCCTTCTTGGTTCCCTTTGTAATTTTATATTTTTGCACATTAAATGTACAGCAAGTATTTGCAACAAGAACAGGAGTACTTGTGGCACCTTAGAGACTAATAAATTTATTTGAGCATAAGCTTTCGTGGGCTACAGCCCACTTCATCAGATGCATAGAATGGAACATATAGTAAGAAGATATATATGCATACAGGGAACATGAAAAGGTGGAAGTTGCCATATCAACTCTAAGAGGCTAATTAATTAAGATGAGCTATTATCACCAGGAGAAAAAAAACTTTTGTAGAGATAATCAAGATGGCCCATTTCAGACAGTTGACAAAAAGGTGGGGAAATAGATTCATTTTTAAAGGTGTAGATGTTTGATTTTATAAAAAAGAATAAGTCATCACATCTCACTAGTTTGGGTATTTCTGGAAACATCAGCTTTAGGGAAGCTTTTGGAGGCTCCAACTGAGATCAGAGCTCCATTGTGCTAGCATCTGTAAAAACATATACAAAGAGACAGTCCCTGCCCTTAAGTGCTCATAACTAACCTAAGGCAAGAATCCTGCAAGGAGCACCATGAAGATAGACCCCTATGCCTTCACTCAGCTCCGCTGACTTCAAATTGTCTAAATAGATAAGGCAAAGGGAAGGAAGTATTATTATACCCTCTTACTGATGGGGAACTGAGGTGCTGGGAGATTAAGCGACTTGCCCAAATACACAAAGGAAATCCGTGGCAGAGCCAGGAATTGAACTCAAGTATCCTGAGTCCTAGTCTAGAGCTTGAATCACCATAAAACCACTCTTTACAAATCGTTTTTCTTTTACTTTAAAAACCAATGTGAATCAATCAGATCAATTTCATTTTCTAATTAAAAGGGAGAAGTTAATGAAAAATGCCTCTTGAAATGACAGGATTCTGAGCTCTTGCCAGAGTTAATGTCTGTCTGGTTTACTCCACTCACTTTGAATTTTTTAATTTTTGTATAATTTTTTTTTTTAGGATAAATTATGATCCTCTGCCGTGTGCCTATAATTCAATTATAAAGTCAAACAAAATTCCATAGCTCCTAATGCCTATGGAAAACCTTGAGAAAAACTCTACTTACAAACTAATTTTTTTCCCTTTCCACTCCCAACCCCTCATTTTAGTAATAAGCTACAACAAGGTGTGCATTAGTGGTCTATCGGCAAATTCTTAGTGCACATTTCTGGGCTTCAACCACGAAACCAGCACACCAATGCCTACTGATGTATACCCTGCCATGATTTATTGCTAGTGCAAATGGCTTCATTTTACACCATTTAAAAAAAAATCTATTTGAAACCCACTGTTCAGAGGGCATGCGTGTTACTAACCTACTCCACCACCATGGAAAATCATTCCCAAGAGAAGAATAAAAAAACCCTCCCACACACATTTTCTTTAATATTCTGAAAATAGTCATTAAAACAAACCATTCAGTTTTTATTTCAGGCTGAAGACCATCCTATCTTGCTGTCTTTTATCCTGCATGAACCTGGTTCACTTTCTGAAGCAGACTGTAGATACACTAAATTGGGAATGTCGATTCCAGCTTAAATGTTACAACTGAGAGTGAGGTAAAGGAGTGGTCTGGGGCTACACATTTGCCATGAAACACTTGGTTGGAACCTTGGCCTCATCAGGCAATGCTGGATCCAGGATCTTTTGTTGAGATTTATATCTGGTAACACCAGCTTCAGGCTGGAATCAGCCTCAGTGAAGGGAGGCTGCATAGGCTGATAACTTAAGGACTGAATAGTTTGGTCTAAAGGCAGAAAATCCATTTATCCTAAAACTAGAGAGAGTTAGGAGTCAAATGCTATGCATTTCTTCTCCCTATTACAAACAGCTACAGCACCCCTGCCTTCTTCCATTTTCAGCTGGCCCAGATGCTTCATCCAAGCTGACAGATAAGGACCTACGACACTTTTATAAACTTCCAGACTCATTTCTAGTAACACTCTGTACTTGGGATTGAAAGTAGGAACTTTGGAAAAGCTCCTACTGGTTCAACATACAGCAGCTCACCAATTAAGCAACAGAGGCGGACTTAAACAAATCACCCTGTGCTCCATTTACTATGGCTATAGCTACACTAGGGAGCTTACAGCGGTGCAGCTGCGCCGATGTAAGCTCTCTTGTGTAGCCACTCTAAGCCGACAGCAGAGAGCTCTGCCATTGACTTAATTAATCCAACCCCAATGAGCGGCTTTAACTACATCGGCGGGAGAAGGTCTCCCACCGACATAGCGCTGTCCACACCGGCGCTTAGATCAGTCTCACTTATGTAGCTCAGCGGGGTGGCTTATTCACATTCCTAAGAGACATAAATTATACCGACATAAGTGGTAATGTAGACATAACCTTAGCTGGTTCCCCAGAGAATAACCAATCAAGATCCTCACCTCCAAAATCTTAATGGGACAGACCCAAAACCATCTTGATGACTGTCTCAGCCTCTGATCAAGGCTTACAACAACAACTGTGCTCGAGAGGTAAAATGGCACTGCTAACAACATGGATTAAATTCATAAGAGCGGGTCAGAGACCTTCCTCATCAGCAGTCCTATGGCTTTAGAACTTCTATTCACAAGAACAAGACTTAGCCACAGACCTGACCACCTACAGGTCAAAAAGCAAAATGCATCTCTTTCCTCTGGCTTTCCCACAAATAAACAAACAAACAAAAATACTCATAACACCACACACAGGAACACACACAAGTACCGGTCCATAGTAAGGGGGAGAGAGGAGCAAGAGGAGAGGAAATCAACACATTGACTAGTTTTTGTAAGTTTCTCAGTTACTCTGGTGCTGAGTGCGATATAGATAATTCTCAAATCACCTCTCGTTGGTCATCTGAGAGTCACTCCTATTGCGTAATTACTTTCTGTTTATCTAAAGCTAGAGCCACCCGAATAGGTCCTGAACCTCTAGGAAGTGTTGCGGGGCACTCCTGAACAGACATAGTGTTCCGATTTATAGATGCCTGCACTTCCATGCTGATCAAAGCATAAATCAATGTGAAATATCTGTAGAAATTATAGCATTTGGGGATTAAGGGTGCTATACAAAATAAATCACCTTTCAAGGAGCCCATTGTGACAGACCTGATGCTCCTTTTGTTCCACCCAAGCCTCTTAATTACCCACTCTCTGCATAACTTTCTCTCACTCCCTCAGGCTCTTCACGGAAAACCTTCATTAAAATCATGCTTCTGCCCTAAAATCCTTAAACCGTAATTCCAATAATAATTCCCCTGCGTTTTTTTTTTAAAGAAAAATATAATGCCTGCACTGTGATGTATAATCTAGACTGCAAGCTCTTTGGGGTGGGGTCTGAGTACTGATGGTTCTCAAACTGATCTGCACAGCTGCTGCTGTCACAATGCTGAAGCATCTTATCTGCCTTCAAGCAGCGACACTCCCCTGCAAATTGTAGGTCAGCTTAGATCTTGTTCATTGCTTTTTGACCAACTAAACTAACAATGAATCAAGCACCTTTCCGCACTCCGGCAAAGAGGGAAGCTCGAGGGTTGCAGTTGGAAGGGCAAGAGCTTCCACCTTAAAAACATCAGTCTACAGTAAAGAGAAGTTTGAGACCAGCTCTCCACATCCTATGGAGCACTACTCATGCTGACGGAAATTAATCCATGCACAATACTTGTAATAACAATGTCACTGATATGCAGCAACATCACACAGACCGATTATAGTCCATAAAAATACAATGCGCTTCTTAGATAAATGCGGTACTACTTACCCTCTGTATAAAAATCCTCCTCCTCCACAGCATCCTCCTCTGACTGGAGTCTTTTGGGTGCTTTATAAGGAGGTGGCAACTTCATCGGAGGTGGTGCCCCCACTTTTCTCTGATGGATTAAAAACAAAATAAAGAGGTTTCAAACATTTTGCCACGTACCTACAAATTACTTCTCTTTCTTCTCCACACACTGAAAGGCTACACATGTACGTACATACTCTTCAGTTTAATACAGTTTTTTTAAAATAATGCACTTTGACTCCTTTTTTTCCTAGAAATTTTACAAATGAAAAATATTTTAAGAGACTCTGAAGATAAAAAGAAATGAA